TTGTCGCGGGTCAGGACTGTTTGGGTTTTGTTTGACAGCTACGTTCTGTTGTTACAGGTGGTAGCATTACGGTTGCCATGGTTAAAGGGTGACGCGCGCTCTCTCTGCGACTTGCGTTTCCTGGGTGAGAGAGCGCGTGTCACCCTTGTTGTTGTTGTTATGCTAAGCTAATAGGCAGAATGCTACAGGCATAGCCCTAAAGAATGTAGCCTCATGGGCAGTGTAGTCCGTGCTGCAGGGAGAATGGACTGCCATACCCGTTATGTGTCTGTGAGCGCGAGGAGGGAGAAAAAGGAGAGTCGAAAACTACAAGTTATCATCGAGCAGAAACGGGAGCTGGAAGCATGTAAATATAATAATAACCACTGCAGCCAAGAAGAGTGCCTGACGAGCCCAGTTGTAAGTAAGCTATTAAGACTCAACTGTACACCGTGTTCGTGTTTTCCTCCGAAAACAATAAGTTCCGTTGGAGCAGCCTTTCAACGCCTCTCTGTCTGAAACTTGACCCAGACAACAAAGTAAAGCTAGTTTTCAGCTATGAGCCCGACACAGAACCGATGTATTAGCCAGAGGTCCCTTTACAATGGTTAGGAGCCGCGGACCTTCAGCAATAGTAATAAATCACACAGCAGTAGTACAGTCATGTAGTTGTAAAAAGCATGATAATATATTAAGTAATCCAAAGTATTCAGAATACGTTACTCTCATTGCGTAACGTATTCTGAATACGTTACAAAATACATTTTGGGGCATGTATTCTGTAATCTGTTGAAGAAGTAACCTTCCCAACACTGACTACTTTTAAGATTAGGCTTTAAACTTTCCTTTTTGCTAAAGCATATACTCAGGGCTGGATCAGGTGACCCTGAATCCTCCTTTAGTTATGCTGCAGTAGACAAAGGCTGCTGGGGGATTCCCATGATGAGTTTTTCCTTTCCAGTCACCTTTCTCACTCACTATGTATTAACAGACCTCTCTGCATTGAATCATACTTGTTATTAATCTCTGTCTCTCTTCCACAGCATGTCTTTATCCTGTCTTCCTTCTCTCACACCAACCGGTCCCAGCAGACGGCCGTCCCTCCCTGAGCCTGGTTCTGCTGGAGGTTTCTTCCTGTTAAAAGGGAGTTTTTCCTTCCCACTGTCGCCAAAGTGCTTGCTTTGGTCATATGATTGTTGGGTTTTTCTCTGTGTCTATTATTGTGCGATCTACTGTACAATATAAAGCGGCTTGAGGAGACTGTTGTTGTGATTTGTGATATATAAATAGAAGAAATAAAAAATAATAAATAATAAAATAAATGAATACTTGCCTTAAGGTTTGTGAAGCTTTGATGGTCATCAAAAACATATTCAACATTACAGAATGAACTGTTGTATGTTAAGCTACATTCAATGGATTTATTTCTAATTCTTCATTCTGAAGAATATTACATTATGGATAGAAAATTTGGTAACTGCAATCAAAATAGTTTTTGAACCATGAGATTCCCAAAACTTATTTTTCAGCTTTTTGTTCCCCCCCAATTTAACTTTTTTTCAGATGTCTTGATGCCATCAAATTTAAATTGAACCAATATTTTCATGAAATAGTAAAAATATCTGAGTTTAAACATTTTGCATGTTTTCTGTGTTCTCCTGTGAATAAAGTATTGATTCTTGAGATTTGCATGTTATTGCATTCTGGTTTTGGTTATATTTTACACAATGAGGCAATTTTGGGGGGGAATTCGGGTTGTAATAAAGTAAGAACTGAAGGAATTTTTACCCCTGAGCCATAAGAGGCTGAGGGGCTATTGTCATCAGGCAGGCATGTGGGCAGCATGGACACCTGAGTTTGTGAATGCAATAACTCAAGAACAGGGTGATGTAGAGTCCCAATCTTGAGCTCAACCTCAACGTCAGAGGTCAGGTTTTCTGGAAATCTTGAGAATGCCATAATTTGAGATTAAGGATTCAACTAGGAGGCTAAGGGTTATGGCTAAGAAGTACAACTGCCAATTTGACCAGCTAACACTTACTAACACCGCTTCACTTGCAAGTAATTTCTCTGTTAGGAATCTTCCCACACAAATTTGACTGTTCAAAGGCACCACTACACTGTTTTGTGTTCTCATCCAGCAGCTGCAGTCTCTCCACTGTGTGTGCACAAACAGGTCGTTTTGTAACTACTAAAGAGCCATAGGGAAAAAGGAGGTCTGACATCAGAATGTTTTTTTAGCTGTGAAAGTTTTATAAATATTAGTGCAATACACATACAAGTCCAGCCTGTAAAATAGACCCAGCATTTTGAACTTCTTGTGTTTTGGTGTGATTTTGTATTATTGTTTATGTCTTAGGCTCATTAGTAGTCTTAAGTTTAATCTGTTTTGAGTTTCATATATTCGTGTGTCTCTGTCCTCTGTGTCCCTCTCTGTATGTTTGTGTTTATCTGTACGTGGGTGTCCTTGTGTCTTGTTTCCCTTTTCTGTTCCCATATGCCCCTTCCTCATGTTCATTCCATGTCTCTCCTGTCTGTCATGTTTATCCATATTTCCCCAGCCCATCATGTCTCTCTCCCTCTCTCTCTATGTCTCGTGTCCCTTAACTGTTTCCCCGTCCCACTCGTTGTCTCCTTCCGTTATCTCCCTTGTCCATCTTGTTTCCGAGTGTTTGCCTCCCAGCTTCCGTTATCATCTGTCTAGTGTGCGTCACGTTCAGTTTCGTTTCCCCGTCTCGTTAGTTAGATCACGTTCAGCTGTGTTCCCTCCTGTGGTTTGTTCCCTCGTTTGCCCTTGTGTGTATTTATGTCTGCAATCTCCCTCGTACCCAGCTGTGTGCTCTGTTAATTGGTTTAGTTTCCTGTATTCTAGTTCAGTTTTGTTTTCTACAGGTATGACAAAAAAAATTGTTACTGTTGCTTCCATATTCAAAGCCATAACTGCAAAAAAGTTACAACAAGCATTTCTGTTTCAGTCATTGACATCTGTATTCGCTTATCTATTTATTTTCAATTCTGGTTAGAAATAACACTCTGGAGTTTGTGGCTGCCCACCACTCCGAAATAATAAGGATGGGTCAAAATAAATTTCCCCCAGAGATACAAATCTAAATGACAGCATTCAAGCACAAAGACATCGCCCTCAAAAATAAAACACAAAGACGTAAATCATGCCTCAATGAAGAGGAAAGAGAGAAAACATGCTGGAAATTTTGATGAATAATGAGTTTATAAGTTTAATTGGATGGTACCTCTGTATAAGCCACCCCTCTTCTCCTTAAAAAAAAACAGACCATACATTGTAATTATCCCAAATATATTTTTATACTAAAGTATTTTAATTAAAGCAACATTTTGTCTTTGTACTTCAGGACCCATTCATTGCTGGTGTTTTGTAATTCCGCAGTTGTTCCAGGAAGCCGGGGTTTGGTGAGGAGGTGGGCCGAGCTGATTTGACCAATGAGAGGGCAGCATCAAAAGACTGGCCATCGCATGACATCAGGTAGCCAGTGACCACAGCGGGTGCACGTGACACCCCAGCGTTGCAGTGGACCAACACCACGCCTTTCTAATGGAGATACGCACAAAAATAATAATATTAAAACCACATCATTTATAAAAGATCAATATTCCATTCTTTGCCACTTGGGGCAAAATATCCTAATAAGGTCATGTTGTGCGTTTCTTATTTCGTAACAGTCCTCATCCATAGGCATGTGGGGTGATGAAAGCACAGCTCCTGTTTGACACTCTTTCATCTTTGCCCACAGCTTGGTTAAGTTTAGCTTCTAAAAACTACTTGATTAGTATCTAATTGTGAAAAAGTAGTTCTCATAATCCCTAGGTAACAGGCCATTGCCCCAACACCAATAATGCCTGTAGTGCAACCCAGTGTCTGATTTTTCCCTTAATCCTTAGTTTGTATGTTTGTTTGTCTGTTGCACTTAAAAACACCAGTGAATCATGTTCACAGACAGAGCCCTGGTCAGTTTTCTCCTTATAACTTCTAAAAGCTTTTGTATTGTAAACTTGGACATGGTGGCAACAAAAAGGGCCATGATAACAGTTTCATTACCACAGACCCCCGTCTTTTTTCATGATCTCATGTTCTTAAAGTATTTAATGTAACATGCTGTAAACTCAAGTGAGATATTTTTTCTGTCATTAACTTTAACGAACAGAATTTAAATTTTATGTCATTGTTGTTTTTTTTTAAATCTACTCGTTTGAAAGAAAGAACTTAATCTTGGCACCTTATTCTTTGCATTAGAGACAAGAAAATTAATATTAAATTATATTCACTGACAGAATATAATTCTAATTAAACAACTCTCTCTGTCTTTTCTTTCGCTGTTTTGTTGTTGTTGTTGTTTTTAATAATATTTAATTTTGACTTTTCCTGATTGACCACATTCAAAACAGCGGATCAGAGCCTTTGCTTTGACGTCAGGATGTCCAGGCTGATCTTCACGCTCCAACGAGCGCTTTAGTTAATAGGCTTGTTTGTTTGTTTGTGTCTTTGGATGCACATTAGCTTCTCTTTTGCAGCCTGTATCTTCCTTCGCGTGAAAGGTGTACACCATAAGCTGTGTCTTAGTTACCAGGCTGAGCACTCACTGGTCAAATCAGCTGATTTGACCAATGTGCAGAGAAACAATAAGAGCTATGGAGAAAAAGTTGCAGTTCTCCATTAAGATTATTTGAGCTATTTTTACACATTCAACAATGTTGTAAAAAGCTGACCTCTTTATCAACCAAATTTGAACAAATATTTCTAAACAGGTACAAAATTACAATCTAAATCTAATCTAAATCATCAGAATATGTGATGTTTTATATTGTCTCCAAATTATTAGCAATCAGGGGAGAAAGAAAGTACTCACTCTGGCATGCAAAAAAAATATTTTCTTTCTCCGGGTTGGGGTTTGGGATCATCATAGATGATGAATTTGAGACAATTTTGAAAAGGAATTTCTCAGAAAATAAAGGTCATAATGTAAACTCTAAAGTAAAGTTGGTATCAATTAAGTTACATTAATTTATATATTTGTCCTGCAGTCATGAACCCCGTCACATGATGCCTTTGTGGCTGTTGCTGTCGTCATGACAGCGTCCATAATCGAGCGTCATTACCAGCCAGATGGCCCACCGAGTAATTTGAGTCTGCATTTCAAAGTAAAAGCATCAGTTTGATTATCAGAGCTGGAATTACCACACACAGAAACATATCATTATGAGGATACGCATACACACAGACATGCGCGCACACACACATAGACTTCCTGTAATCAAACACCTCTAATGACTTTGTAATGACTCTATGGGTGTGTATGTGTGAGTGTGTGTGTGGGGTGTCATGTTAAGGTGAGTCGTCAGCTTCGCTGCTAAAAGCTTGTATGACACTGAGATCTGATCTGAGAGCAGTTGAATAAAACATGACCAAAACTAACCATCTATTATTTAAAACCAAGGATGAGGCGACAAGGAGAGGAAACACAACGAGGTGACAAGGAGAGGAAGAAGTGTTGAAACATTTGTAGCATGTTAATGCATCCCTCAGTTTAAAACCCTTACATCTGACTGCTTGTTGCCATAAGCTAGTTAGTTTGCTAAGTACTTCATTCGGCAAAAATACCCAGCTCTGCTGTTAATATTGCTTAATAGACAATTAATATAAATATTCATATTAATGTGTAGACCATGCCTATTCGTCAATATTTCTTTTTAAAATTTATCTGTAATAGTTTTCAAAACATGCAGTGTAAAAGCCACAGACAGACAGCATGTAGTTAGCAATGAGATCACATGTTAGTTATGTCCTTTAGCATTTATGTTTATCATACTAATGTCTATAGCAGCCATTCCCAAAGTCAAGAGAGCTGCAGCCCCCTTAAAAAACAGAAACTCCCATGAGGCCCATGCAATCTTAAATCTTGCTAACGCTACCCAGTCATATGAGTGTTAAGGCCAATGTGTGACCCAGCTGGGAGAAATTATAGGAGAAATAAATTTCAGAGTAGAAATAAATGTAATCAATATTACTAATCACCTCTTAATACTAGTTTTAATTCACCTTTTATATAGATACATTTATTTATGGATTTATCCTTTAGATAAATCCACATGTAACTTAACATTAACATTAATAATAAACACATGCATAAGAAATTATGTCACCTCAGTCTGAGCCTGCTGGATGAAGTCACAGCATTCCTGGAGGTGAGGGAGGAGATCGGTGTCGGGGTGATCCAGAATACTGACAGTCTTATAGATGAACAGGTCCGGGAAGACATTCTCCACCCCAAAGGCCACATTCAGGATGTGAGACACCTGAGGAGGATAATGTTTCACTATCACAATACTGATATTCATAAAATGAAGCTTACCTATGACTACACAGTCAGAGAAACAGGAACAGAAACATAATTTTGCTTTGATAGTAGTGACTGAAACGAACTCCTTGCTTGTAGGAACAGAAGCTCACCTTGTGTTTTCTCAGCGTGCCAAAGTCATGTGCAGCATCCTGAGAACCTGCACACACACATACATAAAACTAGTTAGTGTATAGTTTGACTCTGCTGTGTGTATGCCCCAGCATCTACTGCAGGTCATGGGGTCATCAATGGTCTCCCACTAAATCAGTGAGCTCCGGGGTCACGTCTCCTCCCGTCCCTCGCATGTAGGGGCTCATGTTACGAGCTCAGTGGTTATCGGCACTGCTGGGCTGAAGGTGACATCCAGGACAGGACAGGGAGACACAGGAGGAGAGGAGATGGGCTCATCTGCTTTTTTTTTTTTTTTTTTGTACTTCCTAAATTCATATCTAGGTGTTTGTTCTGCAAGTGCTAAAAACTAATAATAAATATTGAGGACAATTGTATTTATACATTGTAATTTTCAGTCAAAGCAAAGCCTCTAAAAGGGGAGCACTTCCCCCTAGTACCTTTGTATTTTTTTTCCAAATTATTTGGCCTTTGTGTTGCTCCAGTCTCCAGGAGTTCCTATGTGGATTGAGTCTTTCTTGGTGTCTGTTATTGTAATCCAAAATTGGCTCTACAATGTTGAATCAGGGCTCGCCGGAGGCCACATTATCCATTACCAGACTTTTGTCTTTCATGTGGCTGAAGCTCTTTATGACTCAGGTATAGTTGTATAGGAACAGCTTAAATTAGCTGCTGTTTCTGTCCTCTAAACCTCTGTGTGTAGAGTCACTGATGGTTGATTCATCTAAAATTGTTTTGTTTTTTTAATTTCCTCACTTTTTTGGCACAAGCTGAATAATCGCATGTTTCCAAAGAGACACAAAATCTCTGTCTGTTTCCATATCCTCCAAACACATCCTCCTTTATCACCATGTTTTCCACTCACCTCAGCTTTTCACTTGGCTGTCCAACAGAGGAAAATGCCAGTAAAACGCTGAACCCCTTTTAACCAAATGAAATCACAGCCTAGTGGTTGACAGTGGTCATACTCTTCAATATTTCCAGGTATTCAGATAAGCGTTATTTGTTTGGGTTACTCACCCAGTAGAAGGAAGGGCTTGACAATGCCAACCTGCAGGTCCCAGGAAGTGTCAGGGACATATCCCAGCATCTTCTCTGAAGGGGGGGCGGGGTCTTCGACCACAGTGATTGTTGAACCCTTCCAAGTCTCGATAATGCGACGGCCACTCAGTGAGGTCACACGGGTGCACTGCTTCCTCAGCCGCGTCCGAGAGAAATTGTGGATCTCCTCGGTCAAGGACTGCATGCTCAGACTGACCTGGACTGCACCTGAAAGATAAATGTAAATGAATATTTCAAATAACTCCATGTCATCTGTTTAGAGAACCGGATGTGTACAAACGGGCTTACAGTTTCCTGCGATCTGAGGCAAGCTGTCATGTAAAATTCCTGCATCATTTTAGAAGAATAGAAAGCACATTTTTCCAAGCCATTTAAAGGGTTTACATCTTTGATGACACGGAATGGGAGCGCAGAGAGGATAGCAAGATCAGAAAGTACTGACACAGACTAGCTGAATAAGAAAGGACCTCCCCTTAAGTTTGCTCGTGTCTTTTGAGCTAAGGATCATAAATAAGCTCTTTGAATTTTAATTTTTAATGAATGTAACACTGTGGCTTAACAAGAAACCCCTGGATCACTTACAAGTGGTCTTAATAGCTGCTGTAAAGCTTTTTAATTAGGTCCTCTATGAGGTTTCATGTGACACTGATCTTGATTTCTTTTCTGTCTCCCCATCAGGTTCAGAACTCAGTCTATGATCATGCTGACGGAGCACTGCACAATCATGCAATGATTCCCCAATACTCTTACATCACCACCAGTTTCTGATGTTTACTGAATAGAAAGAAGCAGCTGTTTTACAGTTCATGTTTCATTTTATTTATTTTGTCTTCTAAATTATTTTTATTTGGTTCATTATTTTGTCCATTTTGATCCTTATGCCCCAGAAAGGTCCAGTTTAAATTCAGTTGTGTACTTAAAACTCTGGACCATTTTGGTTCACATTGACATCATTGACTCTGGCTGTGATTGGATGGATCATCCTCCATCTTTGGATTTCAGGTTAACAATACTTTCACCAACTCACTTTGACTGTGTGGTGTGCCTCAAGGCTTTGTTATGGGTCCTATTTTGCTTCCTCTTCAGCACATAATTTGCAGAGGTACAGTTTGAGAGGTGTTATCACGTCTGTTTCACTTTCCAAATATGGCTAAACTATCTTTTCTATGCTGTCAAAAATCAGAAAGCTAGTAATTTCCTTTTTGTGTCCTTATGTGTGACCTTGCTGGTTTTGTCATTGCATCCTGTTCCATTTATCTTCACATGTTGAAGATGATTCATTTGAAAGCCTGATACTCAGCCTTATCTCCCCTAAAACCAGTTTTATTTGTTATCATCTATCGTCCACCTGGGCCTTACACTGAGTTTCTGTCTGATTTCTCAGACTTTATATCTAATTTAGTTCTGAGCTCAGATAAAATAATTATTGTGGGTAATTTTAACATCCATGTAGATGTTAAAAATGACAGCCTTAACATGGCATTTAATCTGTTATTAGACTCAATTGGCTTCTCTCAAAATATAAAAGAACCCACCCACCACTTTAATCACACTCTGGATCTTGTTATGGCATAGAAACTGAACATTTAACAGTGTTTCCTGAAAACCCTCTCCTGTCTGATCATTTCCTGATAACATTTAACTTTGCTTTATAAGAAAGCCCTCCGCAAAGCCAGAACATCTTACTATTCATCACTGATTGAAGAAAATAAGAACAACCCCAGGTTTCTCTTCAGCACTGTAGCCAGGCTGACAAAAAGTCAGAGCTCTTTTGAGCCAACCATCCCTTTAACGTTAACTAGTAATGACTTCATGAACTTCTTCACAAATAAAATTTTTATCATTAGAGAAAAAATTACCAGTAATCATCCCACAGATGTAATATTATCTACAGCTACTCTTAGTACCATTGATGTTAAGTTAGACTCTTTTTCTCCAATTGATCTTTCTGAGTTAACTTCAATAATTACTTCCTCCAAACCATCAACGTGTCTTTTAGACCCCATTCCTACAAAACTGCTCAAAGAAGTCCTGCCATTAATTAATTCTTCAATCTTAAATATGATCAACCTATCTCTAATGATCGGCTATGTACCACAGGCCTTCAAGCTGGCTGTAGTTAAACCTTTACTCAAAAAGCATCTCTAGACCCAGCAGTCTTAGCTAATTATAGGCCAATCTCCAACCTTCCTTTCATATCAAAAATCCTTGAAAGAGTAGTTGTCAAACAGCTAACAGATCATCTGCAGAGGAATGGTTTATTTGAAGAGTTTCAGTCAGGTTTCAGAGCTCAGTCACAGCACAGAAACAGCTTTAGTGAAGGTTACAAATGATCTTCTTATGGCCTCTGACAGTGGACTCATCTCTGTGCTTGTCCTGCTAGACCTTAGTGCAGCATTCGATACTGTCGACCATAATATCCTATTAGAGCGATTAGAACATGCTGTAGGTATTACAGGTACTGCACTGCAGTGGTTTGTATCATATCTATCTAATAGACTCCAATTTGTTCATGTAAATGGAGAGTCCTCTTCACACACTGAGGTTAATTATGGAGTTCCACAGGGTTCAGTGCTAGGACCAATTCTGTTTACATTATACATGCTTCCCTTAGGCAGTATCATTAGAAGACATAGCATACATTTTCACTGCTATGCAGATGACACCCAGCTCTATCTGTCCATGAAGCCAGATAACACACACCAATTAGTTAAACTGCAGGAATGTCTTAAAGACATAAAGACCTGGATGGCTGAATTGAACTCAGACCTTCTTCCTCACAGACAAGCTAAGGCCCACTTATCTTAATGACCTTGTAGTACCATATCACCCTATTAGAGCACTTCGCTCTCGCTCTGCAGGCCTACTTGTTGTTCCTAGAGTATTTAAAAGTAGAATGGGAGGCAGAGCCTTCAGTTTTCAGGCCCCTCTTCTGTGGAACCAGCTTCCAGTTTGGATTCAGGGAGACAGACACTATCTCTACTTTCAAGATTAGGCTTAAAACTTTCCTTTTTGCTAAAGCATATAGTTAGGGCTGGACCAGGTGACCCTGAATCCTCCCTTAGTTATGCTGCAAAAGGTATAGGCTGCTGGGGGATTCCCATGATGCACTATTAGTATTAGTATTTCTTCCCCAGTCACCTTTCTCGCTCACTATGTGTTAATAGACCTCTCTGCACTGAATCAAACTTGTTATTAATCTCTGTCTCTCTTCCACAGCATGTCTTTCATCCTGTCTTCCTTCTCTTAGGCCAACCGGTCGCAGCAGATGGCCGCCCCTCCCTGAGCCTGGTTCTGCTGGACATTTCTTCCTGTTAAAAGGGAGTTTTTCCTTCCCACTATTGCCAAAGTGCTTACTCATAGGGGGTCATATGATTGTTGGGTTTTTGATTTATTATTATAGGGTCTGCCTTACAATTTAAAGCACATTGAATGCGACAGTTGTTGTGATTTGGCACTGTATAAATAAAATTGAATTGAATTGAATTTGCGTCTTGATGCATGCTCAATCATCCAGGTAATTAGATCTCCAAAAGTTGATTCTGGACGTAACGTTTGTGGAAGAAACATTTCTTCCACAAACGCTACGTCCAAACGAACAGAATCATCTTTTGGAGAATTGAATTTTCACACATTAAATGGAAAATTCTTGTGATAACTTTTAGAATTAAGTGTGACTGGACAGTTATTAGAGAGCTACTTCTAACATCATGTCTCCATCAGGACGTCGGGGCTATCATATCAAAATCTGCCAGTTGCTCTGCAGCCTAGACTCAAAGTTGTGACTGTGGCTTTGAAGTCCCTGAACTTTGTAAACCCAACTATGACTTTAGAATCACCATTTGCATTTCTGCATGACTTCTGATCTAAAAAAAAAAAAAAAAATGCCCCGGATAGAACATATCATCTAACAGGAGCTGGTCAAAAATTTTGGTTAAGAAATAAATTTCCCTATCAGGCTGAACAAAAAAATGTTAGTTATCTTTTAAAGAGGATCCATTTCTTAATTTCCAGCTTTATTTTTAAAAACAGCCTGAGCTATGTGTCAGAGAAGACCAGGCAGGTCATGCAGACCTATTCTCACTCACATAAATGAGAGTGCTCAGATCCATCTGTGCTGTTGGCTCACAGGGACTACCTGCCCTTACTCTGACATCTTCATAAGCAAAATAACACATCTAATTTAAATATGCAAATTATTATCTAATTCAAATCATTTTTAAAAATCAACTATTTAGGTTCTGTCCACCTTGTTTTATTAGGTAGCTTAAATTTGTTTTGGATAACCTGACCTAATCATAATGTTAATTTCCTCACCTTGGAACAACAACCAGCACATACATGCTCTGTAATAACATGCACTATCTTTATACAGTACCTGTTTCCTGTGATTGTTGTAATTCAGTTCAGCTTGTATTAGTTTCTCTCAGGGAAGTCTAGCTTAAATGCCAGAAACCAGAGAAGGCGAAGGATCCGGTTCAGTTTGCAGAAGAAAAACAGATGCGTCCCTTCGTCATCTTTTTTTTCACAGTAGACATGCAGTGTGGTTCAGATGCCTAATACCGACTAAACTTGGTTGCCGTTAGGTCAGGAACTCTGCTGGAGGTGAGCTGCTGCTATGTAACATGAAACCTGCTGCCTGTCTGAATTTCACCTGTGCACTTTAACAATGACACATTTACCAAGTGCATAACAAACAAACAAAAAAACAAACAAACAAAAAAACTTAGACTTTAGCGCAATCCTTTTCATTTTTCCTATGTACTAAATGAATAAATCCTCTTTCCTGTTTTGTTGCCTCACTTTAATATAGAGCACATGCAGCTAAAGCACAATGGCAAAATATATGCTTTTCTATATGATTATATGAAGTAATGTCAGAATATTTTCAAGGAAATTAGTAAAGAAGGTCTGGTTGTGTTGGTGTTGGATGTTGCTTCTTACTTTTTCACTAGAGGGAGCCACATATTTGCTTTTCTTAAGCAGCATTAATGAAAAACTACTTCAATTCTGTTGCAGCGCCCAACAAACTGTTAAAATAAAGAGCTACAGTTAGAATGAATTATCAAATGAATAATACATAAAACACAAGTGATAGGTTTGTAGCTTGAATCTATCCGCAACACAAGTCTTTCAAGGCTTAGTATTTTATTTTATTTTATTTATTTATTTATTTTTGCCTGTCCCGTTTGGCTCTTTTGCCATCAGAATTATTGTCTAAAGGCAAAGAAAGATGCCCAACGGATTTACTTTACCAAATGGACCATCCCAGCCTTGCCGTAATGGTCTCATTTGATTCACCTTTTATTGTTTTTATTTTATTTTCACTTGCTAAATACGGGACAGACTTGACTGGGGAAAGAAAGGGGAGAAAGAAAGAGGGAAAGAAAAACAGCGGGGGAGAGGGACGGGGATAAAGGGCAAAAAACAAAAAACCAACAAAATAAGCAGACATAAAACATATATCGAATCACCTGGATCACCTGTTGAGAAAGAAAAAAGAAAACAAGCATTTAACAAGGGATAAACAACATCATGATGATCTATGGGAATATAACAGTAAATACTAAATATTAAACATTATTGTGCAGCACGTAAGATCGACAGCGCACAGTGTGCTTTGAGGTAGGAGCCAAAAAGGGTGTAGTTGTGTGTGTGAGCACCCGTGTGTACACCTGTGAGCATGAGCGCGCTTGTTTTAAAAGGTTCCTTCATGTAATGATCTGCTAGAGGGTGTGGGGGGGCCACAGCCCCGTCCTCCAGGGCATGAAGCAGGTATGGAGGAGATCAAAACTCCAGACATCCAGAGGCCCCCAGAACACAAGAGACCAAGGAAGACCAACAGAGGGGCAGCCGCGCCACTGTCCCAGAAAGAGCTGAGGAGAGTCCCAGATGAGGGCTCACTCAGCAGCCGCGGAGCAGAAGCCAGGGGGGTTGCAGTGACGCGCCCGTGAGCTCCGCCGGCAGCCAGCCGTGCCTGAGTGACCGAGCCCCAGGCCGAGAGGCCTGGGGGCACCCCACCTCCGAAGTGGCCCGAGCGAGCCCCAGGCTCCAGGCCCCAGGAGTGAGCCGGTGTGTACCTGGACGCCCATCCCCGGACACAAAGAACCACCAATGCACCGATGTCTGAGGGCGTCTGCCACTGGCAGGGGAAGTGGTGGGGGGAGATAGGCCTCCAAACCTTGGAGGGCCTGAGATGTCCCCAGAGAGGTGGCGCCTGATACCCAACCTGACATATAGACACAGACATACAGGCACACACAGATACAAACATCCATTCCCACCCTCATGCTCTCATATGCAATTACTCACACACTCACCCAACGTGGAGACAGACATAAAGAGACGCTGTACACACGATCACACTCCCCAAGCGTACTCTAAGCCCCGGGTCTAGGTACCCTTGCCCCTGGAGGGGGAAACTGCACCCAGACCCAGGTGGTGTTACCCTTTTCCCTGCGGTGGGGAGAAGCAGACCGCCCCGACTCCGCAGCAGCAGGGAGGCCACTCCAGACCGCAGTCGGACGGCCAACTCCTCCTCCTGGCCCCCCGCTCCAGCAGGTCGCAGAGAACGGGGGTGTGAGAAGACTCCAAACCTCCCTCCGCCCGCTCATATGTAGTGTTGATGCATGTGTGTTCTAAGGTGCATTTAAAACCCAGGAGGGCATGGAGCTACCTGCCAGAGAGCAGCAGGTAAGCGCATGGTCCCTCCTGATAGCCCTCAATGTCTACGTGTTAAATGAAGGTGGGCAACGAACGCCAGGGGTGAGGATTGTACACCCTGATGGTCTTTTGGAGTCCGTGTAGCGTGCCCACCCCCAAGATCCTATATGTATGTGTTATGAGAGTGTGAGTAATGTGAATGTCTAAGTTGTGGGATAAAATTGAGGCAAGGCAGCCAGAAGGGGACAGAGGGGGGGAGGGTAGCCTCCCCTGCACCCTGGTGACACACCTTTACCTCCAAGGCCCTGCATGTGTGGGTGATTGTGGTGGAGCGGGAAGAGGGAGGCAGCTGGAGATGGGGAGGGAAGGAAGGGAGGGGCAAGTGACCCCTCCCTGGGGCCAGCTCCCCCGCTGACCCCAGTAGGCACCCCCATACTCTGCAACCCGCCAGGGAAAGGGGGCCCAGGCCCATCCGGACCGGGGCCCAGTTCAGCAGCGCCGCCTGGCCCCACAGAGCCCGGGACAGCCCACCCGACCCCACCACAGAGAAAACTGCACCCACCCCGTCATCCACTCATCTTCCAGACTACACAAGACAATAGACTGCCCAGGCTGAGATCTTCCTCCACCTCTCCTATATCTCCCCCTCCTGCAGAGTGAGTTCCTGAAGAGAGGAGACCTCCTGGCTTAGCATTTTTATGTTAATTATAGTGATGTGACAGAGCACATATTACACTATGATGGAAATAATATAGCTCCTGTCCGTCTCCAGCTCATTGTTGTCTTGCTTCACACAGCATGGCCTTGCATATTATAAAGACATCAGAATGCTTCTGATGTGTGGCAGCTGAACATACAAAACTCTGTCTGTGTACATTTTATCAAATTGTAGGCAGGTGTGTCAGTAAATCAACAATCTGACATTCACACGCACAGATGTGGCTTTTAAACTATTTCCATACTAAAATAACCTAAATCGGTGATGTTAAAGTCATTTTACATCACGGGCCACAAACAGCGCACTCTGATCTGCAGACATATCCCTGAAACAGAAGAAAAGTGTACAAAAGAAGTGTCGTTTCAATAAAATGTCTCTTTTTTATAACATGATGAAGAAATTGTGCTGTAGTACATTTAGATGTGTCATATAAACTGTCAGCTAAATTCTTTGGACTTACATTGTCCGAAAATAAATGTTTCAAATTACAGAGAAAGTTCTGGTATTTTTTAATGGTAATTATAAAATGGAAAGATGTAAATTTTTATTTATTTTACCATGAAAACGTTTTGGGGGTTTTTAAAAACTGATATTTCTACAGTAGATGGTGGAAAAAACAGAAACTCTCCTGTCACTTTGCTGTCAATTGTTTATTCATTACTGTAATATGAATGGCTGTGGGGGAGATCTTTACCTATAGGACATCTCTAAAGTATATAAAAGTACGGATAAAATCCCAAAATGTGCGCCCTCCTTCACACTGGACCTCATGTTTGACATTAAACTGCTTTTTCAGCTTATCTACCAGCCATAAAGAAGGTTTTTGGCTCTTTGGTGTTGCCTACACTTTCCAGCGAAAGAGACAGTTTACTGCAACTTTACTCTGGTGTTAGTCTGTCATCTGTTAGCCGACTGCAGCTGGTCCAAAACGCTGCAGCACGGTTACTAACTGGCACACGCAAGCGAGACCACATATCTCCCATACTGTCATCCTTTCACTGGCTGCCAGTTAGTTTTCAAATTAATTTTAAGATTTTATTATTTGTTTTTAAGGCGTTGCATGGGTTAGCACGCTCATACCTTTCTGATGTTTTAAATTCGTATACTCCTGCAAGATCACTGAGGGCTGCGGAGCAAATGCTCTTGGCTGTCCCGAGGTCCAGATTAAAGTAGAGAGGAGATCGGGCCTTTGCTGTGACTGCTTCTAAACTGTGGAACAAACTGCCCCTTCACAGGACCTCCCCAACATTGGACACTTTCAAAACCTGTCTGAAAACCCACTTTTATTTTGTGGCTTGGATGTTTTTATATTTTTGATTGTCTTAAATGTACAGCACTTCGGTCAACAGTTGTAGTTTTAAATGTGCTATATAAATAAATTTGACTTTGACTTTGACTACAATCTCACTGATAGATGAAACTGCATTGTGGGTAATGTAGGCAATGCTGTCGACAAGGAAGAAGATCATATGAAAGCAAAAAGGACACTTTTTCTGATTCTGCTGCAGTTACTTTTTAAAACTATCCATCATGAATCTGACAGTGTCACGGGAGTGCGATGTGAAATCAGTTCTCCTTTAACGCCCCCGTGACTTCTCCTTAAACACCACCCTCAGGGCAATACTCACGTTTTTAGCTCCAATTTCAGGCTCTGTAGCAAAATCAGTAATCATTCCAGATTACTTTCAGTCCTTGTACCGTGTGTGTGTGTGTGTGTGTGTGTGTGTGTGTGTGTGTGTGTGTGTGTGTGTGTGTGTGTGTGTACAGCTGCAGTCTTATTTTTGTTGGAAAAGATTCTGGTAGTTTCCAAGAATATGTCCACATACGGAGAGAAAGAGTTTTCTTTTGGCTGAAATTTTCATTCCCTCAGCACACATGTTAGTGTGGCTATCTTTGTGAGGACCATCAGTGACAGCAGCGCATTCCCACGCACCTAAACCTCATTCTAACCTGAACCCCTTTGGAGGTCTGTCCCAAAACTTACACTGGATCCCACAAGGACAGAGGTGCAAACACACATTCACGCAACGGAGTCAGGTTGCGGGTTTGTTTTGCTTCTCAGACAGTGGAGAGGAGAGAAAATGAGCAGGGTTTTTTCACTTTCACTGGAATGTGCATTCACTGTGCAAGAAACAGTTAATGTGTGTGTGTGTGTGTGTGTGTGT